TAAAAACCTACCAAAAAGGTTTTAATAATTCATATATTTTGGTTATTACTTACAAGTTTTTTTATTTTTTTCTTTACTTCACTTATCTTGGATGTAAGTATATCATTATATCCGTAATGTATATTGTTTGTATTCAATTTTTAATAATTATGCAAGCTCTTTGCAAAATTCGTCTCCGTAATTTGTGTTGTCATGTTACAGAAAAAAATACTTTGTTTTTAAGATACGCTTGGAAATGTATAATTTAACGAACAAAGTATTTGGTTATGGTACAATAAATGGAAGTTACTTAGTATTTGCAAAACTAAATTTCAAAACAACATAATTTTTTCGACTAAAACAATACATGTTTATAAAAAATAAATTATGGAACACATCTTTGAAATTCATAGGGACTACAATGCACACATATACAAATTTTGACTACAAGATATTTCTACATCCATATAATATATAGGTATATACATAACATACATATACCTATACCATTTTAAGACATTATATTTATAAACCGTTAAACAACCCTTTCAATGATATAACATCCTCAAATCAGTACCTATTAGAATAGAATTTACTTTTAAACATAATGAGCTCAAAGAATTTCCCGTATATATTGAATAAAACCTAATATTTTTCGGATTTAATACGCGCTTATACGATATTCACATCTCGTCTGCCTGTAATCACGGTTGCTGCAAAGTAATCGAAACGTCGTGTGTAGTTAAAAATAATAATAAACTCGTATAACACAGAAAATATGATCATAATAAGATCATGAACAACTGTTAAACAAATCGCAATATATTATTAACGATTTTATTATAGACAATAGATATAATTGAGCGTTTATGTTTCTCGATGACCCCACAGATGAGGATAATGGGATTATGCCGTCCTTGTTCGTCGGCTTGGTTGTTTCGAAACTAGCCTTATCTGATAGATGAAAAGGATGATGTTATGTGCTCAAGTTAGTCGATGTGCAACGAATGTACTAAATTAATAATAATTTAATGGATACACACCTCTATTGCTATGATTATAATGACTACATTTAAATATTCTGTAATTTATGCAAGGCTTATTGTACTTCCGCGAATATAGTTATCATGGCACAATCAACTCCTGCTTATCAGAGCGTTTCGGGCTGCATATACTCAATGTTATCGTTAAGTTTTGTACTAATATATAAAGAACTATTTTGACTTAATTTTTGAAGTAATGTTAGCTTATTTAATAATTCGTGTGTATGTAAATAGTTGAATGGAAATTCATAATTAATATTCAAGCAGTAAAGAATAACGCACGCAATATTTGAGGTACATTCGACCTTGTTTGATGTTTTGGAGGTTAAGATGCAGGTGTGAATATGTTATGATTTGGTAAATATATATATTAAAAAGATAATATTTCTTTTAATACTCCTACTGTGTAATTTCCGTTAAATTCGAGTATTCATTACACATATATTTTGTAACAGAAGTTGTATGTCTCGCAATTTGTCAAGCTTATCGTGACACTGAGCATTTTGTAGACGTGTCGCAAAATGTCAGATAAGCTTGGATTGTATTAGAAATATGTGTGCAGGTGTTGAGGACTTGAGGTGTTACAAAATGACACTAAATCAGTAGCGAGCAAAACTTAACTATTTATAATTATAACAACAGTTTATTTCAGCTACATCTTTCTAAGTTTCCTAATAAATATATCTAAGTCTTAAATATATTACACAGAATAGAGATAGATTACATATACAAACAGATTTTTTATTTTTATTTTCCTACTTGCATCCTGGTTGATTGAGATAATTGTATCTAGAATTCATTAAATATATATATTATTAAGACGGAATTTATTTTACACTTAAATTCCAATCGTAAGAATATCGAACAAATTAAATAACATTGAAAATAAATTTACTTTGAGTGTATTTGTTCAGCGTGACGCTGTAGTTGCCTTGAGTATTGTATTGTTATGCTAACCATGATGAGTCGTATGGCATGTTCAGTGAGTATTTGTCACTGTATGCACATACGAGAAACATGCATTCAATATATTATATAAAATAAATGAACTAAATTGAGTCTATAACCAATTATTTTTTTGTCAGTCTGGTTAAATTATATGCTTGTAATTCTCATTGTATCATTGTGTTAAATCTGTTAACTTTCAAAGTAGTGATATAAAAGATTCAATTATGAAGTATCATACAATATATCTTATTTTCCTATTAATTTATGATATATTATTTACATATTTGCACTTATTTACTATGTATGCTGTTCATATAAAGAGAAAAAATGTTCCAACCTTCAACACGATAATTTAATTCATATAGACATTATATTGAAATTATAATGTTTTTTGACTATACAAGAATTCCTACCTATTAACGTTTAACATTAACACAATACGTAACCAATCTTTATTAGGTAACTTTCTTTGGTAACGCAAAAGGAAATGTTATTTAATGGTAGATAACTTCTTGGAGACTATAAATTTCTTCACGGCAATATTATAACACTATAATATTGGTAGAAGTTTTAATTTATATTTACGCATGGTTGTTGAGTATTATAATGCATATCCTTTAGTTTATATAAGAGTTATATGATTTATTGAACATATAAAAGCATTTAATGTGACTAAATGGGTCAAAGTTCTAGTCGTCATTCTACGGAAGTTTCATGTTGTTAGCATCAAATCATTAAATTATTTAAATTCCTTTTACAATTAATTTGCACTTATTAATAACAAAATGTGTGTATATGTGATTGTCATCCTTATTTATAACAATAGAGAAAAAATAAAACATAATTTTTAAAAGTATTTTTTCTTTACCAGAAAACTACGTGTACAAAATCTAACAGTACTTTTCTTTTCAAATAAAATATCGGCCATAATATTCCTAATTTAAGATGCATTGTTTTTGTATAATAATTAATATAAGTGAAATAATGGTTTAAAATAACTGATTCATTGTCGAGGCGGTCCACCTGTTAAGTATGCGTTGTGAGTCAATAAGATTCTTGAGTCACAGTTGGTTTCCATGAATGATAGCAATGATAGTTGAAAAAAACGCTTAGAATATTAACCATAATGTATATATGATATCATAGTATTTGCGACACAAAACAACATAGGTTTATAAGAAAAGTTGAGTAAAAATTGTAATTAACGTAGAGAAATTTCAGAAAGTCGCTATGTATAATGTGTACATCGATTTGACATCGATTATTTTATTATCAAAGGCTATATCCAGTGTTGACTATAGAATAAGTTCTTGTAAATTTCTTTGTATATATATATTATTTTCATTAATTTTATATAATTTATTGGGGCACGAGTGGGCGCCTGTAGCCTTGCCAACGCCTCGGTTCTGGCATTGGTAACCTTTTACGGTACAGTTAAACATTACCTACACAGAATTTATGTTTCAATAACTCGTTCTTCAAAATGTGTCCTGGGTTCTGTTTGTTCACAAACAGATTGTTTGATTTCTTGGCTTCATACTTGGCTTTTACATAACCCATAGCGGTATCTGTTCTTACTATTATTATCGTTGAATAAGATTTTATACTCATATATGTATGTACTTTTATGAAGTTACTTAATTAAAGTTCTTTAATTACGAATCAAATATCTTCTTACTAATGTGTGGATTACTAATTTAATATAATAAATATACAGACAAGAATAATCCGAGTGTAAAACCCGTATCAAAATATTTATATAAATTTTGCTTTTAATTAAAATTTAAGTCATTAGAGAATGCTTGGGATAATTAATATTGGATAATAAATTAAATTTAACAGCAATATTTCATTTTAACTTAATTTTTCTTAATAATTATTCTAAATGAATTAATGTATTACTTATTAATGATGTTGTAAAGCTACATTAGGTTCAAAATTGTAATATTGATCCGACGTCAGCTGTGTAATAACATCTCAGGAATGCTCATACATAAATTAAACTTGTTATATGGACACGGTTATAACTAATATTTGTTGAGGATTTTTTATACTTATTTATCATTTTTATAGTTTCTTTGTTATATGTTCTAACTTATAAACTTATCGACTTTACAATTTATCAAATAGTTATTTTAAAATCATAACCAATTAAATTTAGTATAAGAGACTTATTAGATTAACTTACTTATAATACCAATAACTTTTATAAATAGTAATTTGTAATTAAAATGTTCTTAAAACTATTTCCTGCTAACAATAAGTAGAGGTAATATAATCGTTACAACATATTTCCAATCGGTTTAACTTCTTCATGTAAGGTTTCAATTGATTGGGTATACTTTTTAAACTACTTAAGTATATATATTGGAATTAATTTCACTGATGGTGTTTATTATCTATTGTTCGAATAGTAATGGAAAATCGTTTTCATACTCTCTTATTGTTTTCTAGTACAGAACTGTTTGCTATGCGTATCTGGGTTAGAAGTTATGACACGATGTTACGCCCGCATTCATACATGTGAATTTTGTGTATGAAGTTTGAATGAAAAAAAGTGTTTTAAAGTCAATAAGAATATTAATTTGATTTACCTTAACTATCTACTATCAAGGAACTGCGTTCAATCATTTCTGTAATTAACATTTTTGCTTTCATGATTTCCTTTGTCCGGGTATTCTTAATAATGTATTACTCTTTGTAGGTATATAACCAGTAAATTTATTTTTTAGTAGAACATTTTAAACTTATATTTTATATAGTTTATATGTAACTGATAATAAGTTAAAGATAAAACAGCAGTTATGTCATAAAACACTTATACGTAACTACAATATTTTAAGTTATAACACCGCGTACTTTGATCTCGCCAATGTCAAAATAATTAGATACGTTGTTACTCGAAAATCGACTCTATGTACTAACTTGATATAAAATCTTTGATTGTTAGAAAAATTTTAATATATCTTAAAAACGATTCAATGAGATCATCTCTTCATCTGTATTATTAATTTAATATATAATATATACCTGCGCAAGCGCAGACGCCAGTAGAGTGAGGACAAAGGCACATCTTCTAACCAGACACATGTTGATTGTATTGTCACAGTCAAGTTAAGTCAACCAGTTAAGTTTTTTTGTTTAATACACTCTTTAACGCGCCATGGCGGCCGTTCCAAGCGCTCAACCGAACTACACTGCCAGTTACGAACGACAAAATTTACTTTCTGCTAGCGCCTGCGTTCACAGTGACCGGCGCGTGCATTATAAACTTGGAGCGTTGTTTAAAGCTTGGCGGAAAAGCCCAACATTTAATACGCTCATTGCCGCTCTAATTATATATATGAAAGGACAATTATCAAATTCAAATGTGATGTGTGTCCCAAAAAAGTCATAAAGGAATTTTATTCTTTGGAAAGACATACGGTTTTGGAAGTATTTAGATCATTTGCATTTCGAGTTAAAGTGACAATGATAATATTAAAGATTTATTCTACTGTGAACAAGAGTCGTCTACGCAATGTTGCGTCGGCGGACAGCCAGCATTACGACACACACACACACACACACACCTCTCCCTTACGTTACACACACATACACACAGTCCTGTAAAGCAGGTATGGCACTCCCGGATCTTTTGAGAATTTTTTACCTGCTCTTAGAACTGCCTATCAGCACTCAGAACTCTCGTCAGAAAGACGTATATAACTCAATAAAAACTGATTAAGTTCTAGACTAATAATAGAAAGGTTTGGACAGAACTCCGTTTCCTAAAAGACTTCAACGCATCCAGAAATTTGCATAATCTTGTAAATTATCAACTTGAATATTGAATAAAGAGGAAGTAGCAAGGACGGAGGAATGTGTTGCATATTCATATACAAACAATAAGAGATGCACACAGCCTGACAAATGATGTACGTTTGTTTGAATCAAGATATTATCTTATTGGATTGTATAGCAAATGAATGAAGAATTTTGATGTATATACTTTAATTCCATTAAAATCTCCTCCATAGAACACTGAAAACGTCAAACTTTAAAAGATTTTTATCTTCATAAAAGGTGTTTTTAATTAGTTAACATTTTTATATCAACAGCTCCATCTATATTCCTTATATGTCAACTCTATAATTTAGTTCCAATGTTACATGTTATTAAAGATGGCGCCCCTATCGCAAGTTGCCGCCCAAAATCAATACGCGCGCGCCGTCAAGCTGATTTTCACCAGTTTCACACAAGGCACCCCCATTTACAATAATTTCCCTACCCGTTAAAACGCGTCCCGTGCTCCACAAACACCACTGCCGGATTTATCCTTGATATCGGTGAGTATTATTAAAGTAATTTAGTTATATTGAAGTAAAGTTGAATTAAATATAGCATATTATGTATGGGAGCGATGGTTGTGTTTTAAAACGCAGTAAACTTTTAAATGGGTTTGTAGGGCGGAGATCAAAGTAATATTTTAAAGTACTTCGGACACTTTCTAACATAAAATCTGTGTTAAATAATATTTCTATTAAAATTTCAATCATAATATATCATTAGGTATATATTATGAAAACTATTTTTTAATGTGTTTTACGATTGACCTACATTTTTATTGATAAATAATATTATTGTGTGTCATAATTGTTTGGATAATTAATTCATTGTGATCGTGTCTGTTTATAAAACGTATTTAATTGGTCAATTCAATTTTTAAATAAGAATAGATTAAAATTTTTAAAAGATTTCAACAGAACCTCTTTGATAAATGAATAAAGTTAAGTGGTTTAAAAAATATAGCCTGTAATTTTCGTGGGTATTAAATGGCGTAATAATTAACATAATACTTTATACAATGGAATAGAAAATTCATTTTCTTTACGCATTTCTTCGCCGGGTTCGTACTTAAGGCGGCGGTGAAATGATCGGAAATGATGAAAGAGAAATAAAACACGCGAACCTACCTCTGTAATAATGAATGACTTTCGAATATATTAATCATAAATATATGGTTAATAATATTTATTATGAGAAAATTTTAGATTTTCATGTATGTAATATAAATATTACATAATCAAATCTTTTTAATACATAATACGAAGTCGCAAGAATATAGTATATTATGTATTTTAGTTAATAAGTAGTTTGTTTTAATTTTACAGGATTATGTTCGTAACTCCTTACCTGTCTTTGAATATCAATGGTTTTAGCACGATTAACATGAAGGCATATTGATTTTTGTGACACAAAATGTTTCAAATGAATGATTTTAGCTACTATTGTCCACAAGTTATTAATGTTTTGGTAATATATTTTTAGTTTTTTACCGAAATTAAATGTATATTAGTAGTTTTATTTGAAGATAAAAATAGGAAGTGGTGGACTAATTTGAGTCATAACTTTTTACATTTAAATTAGGCTAGTCTAAAGCATTTTTAATTGCGAAATTAATTTTCCGTTTAATCGGAAACGATTTCGACTTTTATAATAAATATTAGTCGTTATAGAATTTATAATCTTTCATTAATAAATGTATAAGAATACATATTCTGTAAGAAAACTTGAATTCCTTTAAAGATGAAGACTATCTTGTATCGGAGAGACAATAGGATGTTGGATGTTATTTCATCTTATTAGAGAATTATGTCGTCTGTCCGTTGTCGAAAATCGATTTTTATATTGGCATCTGTCCAGGTAGCCCCTGTTATTTGTGAAACGAGATTTGGTTTAAAACTTTTAATTATTTATCAACTTGAGAATATTTTTCTGAATCTTTTCGACTGGAAATTGAATTTCAAAGTTCGTGCTCGTATAAGTTTACAATTATATTGAATTCATTGAAAATAAACCTCATTACATATTAAGGATAAGGTAAGTTTGCGAGCATATTAAAAAAGTTTGGATGTTCAAGTTGTTTGTTCTGAATACTCATTATAAATAAAGCAGCGTCTTTTCTCATATTTTATTTCTTAACTAAACATTTTGATAAGTTTTACCGGTTCGTTAAGTTTAATTATCTTAATTTTAAATTCTAAATATGACTTATTAAATTTTTTTTAATTGTTCTGTTGCTTATAGTATTTTTTAAATACAAATAAATGTTTCTTATAAAACTGTCTTTTGAACTAGTATTCTCTGAATAGATCGAGGTCAAGGGCCAACTTCAGAAGAGAGTCAATAGAAATGCAGTGAGCATCTTTTGAAAATATTGGAAAACTTAAGCGTTAGGAGGCTTTTAGAAAAATTATTTTGCAATAATCTTGACGAGAGTATAGTTTGCGTTTATGTTTATACACAATTATTTTCTAAAACAAAGTAAATGAATTGTTAACATAATTCAATAGTTGGTAATAGAAAATAAAGAAAATGTATATTCACAAATCACAATCACGATTATTATTTATAACTAAACTAAATGTGAGAGACTGTTAGTTTTGGATCACAATTTAATCAAAATTGCAAACATAAGTTCAATCTTATACAGTTTACCAGTCGGAGGTAGAATTAAAAATGACTAATGAGGTATTCCGTGCATACTTGTCACCTTGTTTGTCACTGTAAGAAGATTTTAAGACCACTGTTATTTCTTTTAAATAATATATCAAGTAATATCTTTTAAACTTTTCACTGATACTGGAGATATGATCTTTATAAAGGGGTATGTAATATTGCAAGTAGCCGACGGCTTTCAACGACGGACTGATCTCTTGAGACCAACCAAAGGTAAATTCTCATGTCTTAAGATCAAGCCTTGATTGTAACTCTTTCCAACCAGAGATATTTTTATTTGTGGTTATGTATGTCGAAACAACTTCAGTATTTGATATCGTATAATAAATGTTATTAGTTTATTATAAAACGTGTTTTAGGATAGCATATAAGATAAAATATAGTTAATAGGATAGAGTTATTAGTTTGGAAAGCTATTCATGATTATGTAAGTGTAGCAATTTGGAATTGATATACGAGACAATCGTACAGCAGTAATATTATAGTGGTCATACAGAATTTTCTTTTTGGACTTCATTCAATTTATATCCGTAAAATACCGAAAGTAACGGATAAAATTTATAAACTCTTCAATAGATTTATCATGTACAAAATCAGTATGAAAACAAACGATATCTCTTACAATTTCGGTTTAGATTTTCCAGAGATATAAAGAAATATATACTTTTTCAAAAGAGAATACAAACCTTTTTGAAACCCTTTTCCCTTTTGAAAATAAAGGCACGTATTTGTTTTTCTAACAATTGTTATAGCTACTTTGTAATCCTTGTACTGAAAAGTAACAATGTTTTCTGTAATATGATAACATCGTTTTATTGTTAGCATCGAGTTAAGTATCAATTTGACGTTTTACTTCTCATATAACGAGGGTTATTAAATTTATGAAATGTTATTACAATTTTAATCAACTTCGTATTAATGTTTGATGGTACTTTTTTATTAAAATCAAATGGATTAGCAAAGAAAATGATGTTTTTCTCTACAAATGAAATGTTACAAACTGTGTGGAAGTTATAAGAATTTTATATGAATGGAGAAAATGTTCAGGTAGTAATTGAATTAAGTATAATATATTGTTGACAGTATTCGATCTGCATTTCCTTGGCCGCCGTCGTGTCGCGCTATCAATTCCCGTAACATACAATATTAAACTTGTGGGCGATATTCCCGAGGTATGTAACATACACATATATTTTATATTGACTTTTACGAGCAGACTAGAAGTATTAATAAATTTATAATAATTTCATGATTATTTTATTGTGGTATTTTATGAAGCATGAAAATATTATTGTTAATTTAACATAATCTTTACAAAAATAAAGCACACGTAGTATATCCGAAAAATATTAATTTCATAATGAGATCTAAGATCTCGTCTGCCCGTGATTACGGTAGTTGAAAAGTAGCCGAAACGTCGAGAGTATGTAGTTTTTATCAAAATGAAAGTCACGTATTACATTCGAAAAATATTAGTTTCATTTAAATATTAGTTTCATTTAAATGAATCCTCGCGATATCTTGGATCTTGTTACATAATCTTGTTTGAACGTACCAGGGGCGGTCAAAATAGATCGTTCGGGGTGTCCTGGAATTTGTGGCCCGCAGGCCGCTACCACATCAACCCTGTCTTTCTCAAGCTTCCGAAATTCATTCACCTCCAATGTCAATTACCTGAAAAGAAGGTAAGTCGAGTATGAAATAAGAGTAGTCCTGGGGGAGTCATTTGTTCTGAATATATTTCAGGGACTGTTTTGTCGAGCTCATTTAAGTTTTTACATATATTTTAAGACATCATCATAATTATTATTTTAAGGCATGATCGTCTTTTTATTTTGAAATATTTTTTGTCTAAGTTCTCTTTAGTTGAGCTGTGAAAGCGAGTTTATATGTTTTAAACCCAATTGTGTACTCATATATCACGTCCCGATGTCGTTTTAAGAAATATATTTACGATTTATTAATTTATGAATAAAAAAAAATGAAATGAAAAGCCAGCTATTTCGCGTATGAAATATTAAAGACGTATTGTTAAGCTTGAAACAAAAGCTTTTAAATGCTTACCCCCGACCGCACCGGCCATTTCCCTCAATCCTATTATCAAGAAATTTAAGGTAGATTACAAATTTCCATTGTTTATATAAATGGTAGATGAATTTCTTGATAATTGAGGTTGATTTAACCCGTCACAGTCCTCGCCGTATACCGTGTAGCACTCATCAATATGCAGATTTTACAAAGCCCGCGCTGTTCATCAAATACTACTATCATTGTCAATGCATGACGCTTTTCTATCGGTGTTGTCATTCAATGTGCTTACAGATAGTATAAGTATATTACGTCCATTGAAAAATATGGGGCATTAGTTTTCATTGTGTTATAGCAATCACTAATATTTAATATTGAAATTATTATCTTCCTTCAAAATGAATTGATTCTGTTATCGAATTAGCACTAAAGAATCTATAGTATTTGTAATTGTAATACATACTATATAACTAAAATATTGTTTTGTTTTTACTATTCCGTAATATATAATGAATGAAATCAAATCAAATTAAATCAAAGATATATAAGCGCGGGCGTTAATGGGTAGCTACATTGTGTGTCGGTATTCCTTGTCCTATTCGCGGCGGGAGTAGCTCAGCGGAGGCGTTACGCAGATTCAGCTCGGGGGATCTGCAGTCGGAGTGCGATGAGGGAGAAGTGGATCCTTACACAGGCCGCCCGGCCACTACCAGCCAGCCCAAGCCGCAGGCACAGAGGCCGGCCTCCCAGGGTAATTGATTACATATAATTTATCCTTCTTTGCCCCTATAGGGATTTGTTTACTGAAATTTGACTTTAATTTACTACTCGACTTGAGTCATAATTTATCATTGTTGGATTTATCATTGAAATTTATCCAGTAGAACATATTCTGCATATATTACGCGTATTGTAAGCCTTGTTACTTTAGTTACGGGAGGCAGTATGGGTAGTGGCGCGCCGCCAGCGCCTAGCTCTGGAACAGCTTCAGCCGGTGGTTCAGATTTATCTCTGAACCTTCGCGGTGGCTCACGAGGAACCTCAGCACCTTCCTCACCAGCTAAGTCTCGTGAATCGCTGCTGCAGCGAGTACAATCTCTAACTGGAGCTGCCCGCGATCAAGGAGCTAATTTATTAGGTAAAGGAACAATTGTTAATATTTACAAAGAGTTAGAATAATGTCTATGTTTCTTTTACGTAAGAAGATCACAGTTACACAATTAAACAAAAAGAACTTCTAGTGAATTAAACGCCTTATTTTTATAATACTAAAATCCTCTTTCATTAAGGAGTTGCTTTCGAAATAAACATAGGCGTACCTCCATCAAACGTCAAATAGAGTTAATTTTTAAATTAATCTATCTAATATTTTAATGGATGCTACTAAAAGCGATGGCATAAAAATAAAAGGTCTTAACCCATTTTTAGCTCAATCCCCGATCCCATTAAGTGCCCTTAAAATGAGTTGGGACGCTAAATGGAAAACGATTTTCAGACGGACTTAAGGGAATAACTATGGAAAACAACTGCTAAATTACAACTGTGGACCAGTTGTTATTAAAAAGCGACCGTGTTTTAAATATTAAACTGGATCAAATAAAATATTTCCAAATTCATATAAAAAATATATTTAAGAGTTTAGACATTTTATACGGCTGATTTATTTTCAGTTTTTATAAACCTCTTAACTGATTAAATACAGAATCTAAAGAACATCTGACGGAATAATTTATTTAATATGAAAGATTAGTTTGTACGTTCAAAATTGTTCAGATTTTATATAATTTAAACGGAATTATCAACTCTATTAAATAAAGAGAATGAATTAATTAAGTTTTGACTCTAAAAGTTTATAATATATATTAGGGAGCGTGACATCAGTAGCGTCAGTTGGCCGTGGGTACAACAGGGACAGATGTGTGACACTGTTGGTTGTGGATGACCAGAACACTGACTGGTCTAAATATTTCCGTGGGCGAAGACTACCAGGGGAATGGGACATCCGCGTTGAACAGGCGGAATTCAGGGTAAGATTGTATTGAATTCAAACGTACATACATATACACTGAAATTCTTTACTTAGTACATATATATGGACTATGTAATTATAAATTTTGTCGATGTATCTTTCGATGGATTTAAGATAAAATAATAAAATTTCTTCTATTATTTGATATTAGCATTAATTAGACAAGCGGATAATTTTAATTAAATATACAATCCGATGTTTGTAAAGGAATAGAAAATTTAAAAATATATTACAGTTTATCTTAGAGAAACAAAAAAATAAATAAATTACATCATAAATTATTAACATGTCTCGTCTCTTGGGAAACAATTTGTTAAGGCATCAGCTTTAACAGTATATGATATTACACATGGGAGTATTTGGAACTAAGTCGTATTAAAAATATCAAATGGGTTTATTATTTTATATATAGGGTCTCTATTTCTGCTACTTTATATGAAATGGCCTTCAAATAGTTTACGTTAACAAAAGAATAGCTGTGGTTTAAATAGAAAAAATCGAATTATTGTCTGCTATTTATACAATGATTCGATTGCTTTCATTTTATTAGATGTCTGTAGCGTTACGAAACCATTGTAAACATTAATGGCTTCGTGGAATAACGAGATAGAGAGCTAATTCCAAACAAATAAAATGAATTATTCAGTTTACTAAATAGACGGCGACAGATGTTTCATTCAGTATTCCAACTTTGGTGGTAATCCGATTCACGAAAGCTTTTAAACTGATCGCTTTATTGATTTCTATTTATTTCAATGATTGTGTGTCTAATTGTATTTTAAAGCCATTTTTTTATAAATTCATGTTATTTGATGCTTGTTAGACAATGAATATAAAAGGTTTAAAATTTGCTGATAAAAAACTAAGTTTCATATCTTTCGAGTAAAATATAAATATTCTTTTTTTCGGAATTAAATATACATATCATTTTTCTTTAAAGGCGTTCATTAATCTTTAAAAAAAAACAGAGTTCTAACTCCCATATGTTTTAATATTCTTTTTCTATAATTATTAAGAGTGATTTTTATTTATGTTATGTTTTATTCATGTTCTTATTGTATTGTTTTGTTAAAATGATATGCAAATTGAAAAAAGAAAGACCAAATGGTAAACGAATTCACGAAACGAAGTCTTAAATTCTACTGTTTAATTTCCCAATTATAATTAAATATAACTGAAATAAAATATACTTCAACGTCTTATTTTAATGAACCCAATTCTTAAACCGTAATTCAATAAACGTCGAAGAAATTCGTAACTTAGACGTTATTTACTCTAACAGTGTACACATTAATACAATTTGCTCCCCGTTGTCGGGAGTTTGTAAGCCAATAAAGTACAAATGTCGAGTTTCTTGTAGGAATTGTCGGTGACAGCAAGTTCTGATGGAGCGAATGTTTCTATGGCCGTATATCGCAGTGGAACCAAAGTAACACGTTGTTTCAAGTAAGTTGACATTATAAAATTATAATTGTAATATTTTTATAGTGAATTATTGAACATTTCGTCGTTTATGTTAGTCTTAATATCTATATATCCAATGATTTATATTTAGAGTGTGTAAAGTTATTTGTATTCAGTGCACAGAGGTTGTTACTCAAATTTATTTTTATCACGAACATGTTGTATACAAAAAATAGTGACCCTTAAGCAAAGAATTCTCGTGAGAGCGGCAGAAAGTTGGATATTTTGGACGAATCTTCAATATTACTATAGTATTTTTTATTTAGATCTTTGTAATTGTTTGATATTTCTTAAATATTTGTAATTCTTTAGACCCGAGTTCGTGCTGGTTCGTCAGAATGTTCGAGACGCCGGCGCTGATCATAGGGCTTTGCTGCTCGGACTTAAATTCGGCGGAGTGCCTTCTGTTAACAGCCTTAACTCTATTTATCATTTCCAGGTAAACCCTATTTTTGTATTAAATACTTATATTTATACGACACTATAGGAAGTGTCCGTAATTAATAAATTAATTTGAAATGTAATTTGCAAGTATATAATGTTGTTTTAGTGATTAGTGTGACTTCTTGATATATAAAAAATGCATCTGTAATAGCATACATAGTTTTACAGCTTACGTAATTCTCAAGCGACCGTTTTACATAAACATATAAATCAAATTGTTTTATGAATGCTGATATCGTTGGAAGTAGAAAAAGTGTCCTAATTGTAGATTTGCATAAAGATATATTGTTTACGTCCTCGGGGTAACGTAAAAATGTCAAAACAGCAAAATATGATGGTAGTTATGGTGATAATGTGAGGTAGTCGTTACATGATGAACGGACATACTCATTTTCGTAACTTAACACTTAGCGCATAAATATTTCAGCATTTAACGTCGGTTTGCAAAATGATTGTTCGAAACCTTTATACGAAGGGCAGATGGCTCGATAATAACGACAATAAATTATGTTAGTACTCAATTTATATGATGAATGATTGTGAAGAATTATATTGCAATTATTCATGATAGTCTTATTGCTTTTAATGATAGGACCGGCCTTGGGTGTTTGGTCACCTCCTTCAACTGCAGCGTCGCCTTGGCAGAGAGAACTTCCCTCTCATCGAACAAACTTACTACCACAATCACACCGATATGGTAAGTACTACACAACACATTGCTCTATCAAAACACAAGGCGGCAGTAAAACAAGATTGGTTTAATTTTCTTAAGTCTTTATTGTAATTTACTTAAACAACTATCATTTGTTAATTTACAAGATCTAACTTAAACATAAATATAACTTAAAATAAATAATACATCATAACGGCGAATTTATTCTCATCCGAGGGACGACAATATGTGTTAAGACATTTTCCAAATAACAATTGGTAATGATTCCCATTAAATTCGTCACAAAAGTCTTAAATAGAGCCATAAATTTCATAGAATCACATTCCTCTCGCAAAATCAATATCAAAACCACATACTTGCTGCCTTACATTCCTATATAATTTTGTTACACATTACTGTGACTAGCCAGAACTTAACTTCGTGTAAACAATAACATCAAATTTATTCCTGATACGTTAGCCAAGACACGGATTAACCTAAAAGACGTGTTAGGATGAAGATTTTGGCTTAGTTACTCATAGTTGTATTTGTAAAATATATTAGTAACAATGACAAGGTAACCGGAATTTCAATGAAGTCGAGTGATATACAAATGTTACATAAAATATTTAATGCATCGGTTCGTTTGTTGAATCAAGTCATCGTGCTGTTGAAGTGTTGCTTCTGGAGGCACCTCGTGAGGGCTGGAGCCCTGGAATACAAACATTAATTTAACAACGCATCGATAGTGACCGAAGCATTGCTCTGTACATCAAAGTGATCTAAAATTGGCTTCACTAAGTACTTAAATTCCGATAATACGGTTAGCGTACACTGAAACATTATTGAACCCTTTATTTGACCTTCATTGTTTATTCTTAACCTTTCTTGGAAGAGCGGCATCGTAAACGAAAGATAAAAGGATTAATGGCGATACGTATTATATAATTTATAGATGCTTATTCTAATACTACACACAAACATTTAAAATAACATAAACTGACACTAAAATATCTATAATTACTTAATATTTGATTAATTTTTTGGTCTACAATAATTCTACTTATGTCATTAAACAACGACGGTATAAACCCAAATCAAATCGCATCAAATCAAATCTAAGGTTCATACCTAGTCCAGCGGCAGCGTCTTTCGCGGTCGTGAAGACAGACTCCATGTCGCTCGTAGCACTCGTCGTAACCCGTCACGCAAGTATTAGGAGATTTAGTGCTGCGTCTTTTCACATGGACCTTAAATATTATATAATATTAATTGTATGAATCTCATTAACTTGGTATCTATTACTATTTGGACTACTTTCTAATTTATCCTTTATTTAGTTTTTGCCAATTCTCAGCGGTTATAAAGGTCAACGTGTCTGGTAAAAGTTTACATTCCGACCTAAACATATGTTCAAGGTTCCGTTCATAAATCTTCTTACTTAATACAAAATATATGTACGTGTAAGAATAATTTTCTAATTAGAAATAAATGAATAAATTTACTCTCATATAGGTTTGATATTAAAAATAATATACTCGTAATACAAGTAAATCCGAGCAATGTCCTGCTGACAAGTTTCAACTTTTAGTATCGGTACATTAACGATCATTATAACATGTTTCTACAATTTAATCGGTATTAAAACTGACTGTCTTAAAACCAATTAATTGTCTGCACCTTTTAACTGTCTTGGCGTATTATTTTATATGTTTTATTCCACACAACAAGAGTTTTCATAGCGCTAATGATATCATAAACATAAAATGTGTTGAGAGAAGTTTATCTTATTTTATTCTGTCTCTCCAGTCCAGTATTATTATTAATAATTTGTAAAAGATATAATTCAAGCACGTAAACTGTATAAATGAAACTAATTTATATTAAGGTATTATAAGTGCGTGACTCGTTTCTGTTGTGACTTATAAAGATGGCAAAGCTAAAAATAATTTCTATTTCGTCTCCAAGCGTATTTAATAAGCGTCGTTATCTCAAGTATCCTTGTACACACTCAAGTATTTCGTGAGCGCTATAAATTATGATTCAAAAAGTTTTTTTTTGTAGATTTCAGTAAATTTAATTTAAAAGTTACGTAATACATCAAGAAGTGAGATAAATTTGATACTTATTCGTAGACTTATTTGTGAAAACAAACGAATTCTTCAATATGATACAATAATAACTTTAATGAATAAAATCACAGAATTTTATATATAAGTGTGTATATAATACATGCATTATTTACCTTACACGTGCAGCCTTGTTTATAAAGCAGCCTGAAACCTTTCCGTTGTCGCGGCGTTACTTCGCGCCATTTATTGACGTATCCACAAAGGTGTATGTGTGCTTGCAAATGTACCACACGACCTGGAATTTAATTTAAATATATTTGCTCTACTTATTTATTCTAAATTGTATCAATAAATCAAGAATGAAGTTTAACTTTTTGTTATTTGTTTTGTGAAACTTCTTTTGGTGTGATTGAATCTGATATTTTAGCATCATTTCTATGTGTTTTCGTTGTAATTATATACAATTACCTGTTATAACATAAGTCTCTCTAGGCTGAAGTGCCATTCCACACAGCGAATCTTGTGAAGGCGTCAAGATTCTGCCAGCTTTCAGCGCTAATGCGGCCTTCGGGGTTGCCTATAAAAGTAACGTTAACATTTTATAGCGCCTCCGGCCTCATAAAGGTGAATAAGTGCACCTTAATGCAGGAAACATGGAATACTCACTTTGAATATGTTTCGAATTTTAACCTTATAAGCATCGTAGAAATCTGTTCCCCTGAACATTTTTTGTACTCGTCCCACGATCACTGTGAGAGTAAAATAATATTTATAAAAATTATGTAATAAATGTGTTAATCATTAAAAAAAATACTAATTCAAACTTTTTTAAACTGGCAGTTAACAGTTCGACCTTTGAAATCAAATTAAAAAAGCATAACCTTGTCAAAACTGGCAGTTAATAGTTCTTAATTAAAAATAAATTAATGTTATAAATGCTTACCAAAATCACTGTTGCAAAAGTGTGTTTGTGGATGGTCGGGCTCGCATGTGCAGGCGTCGGCACGCCAGCTAGCGGCCACCAGAGCAAAGGTCAGCAGCCTCGTCAGCATACTCTCAGATATCTGATGACGTTTATTATATTAATATAAACATAAAATAATATCACTTTAAATCGGTTAAGTCAACATGTTACAAAACACGTCCGTGTTCAATAGAAACATATTCATTAGATAGAAATGAAATTTCTTATATTTTTGTACCCTACAAGTCCTAACCTTTTTCGATAAATCGATTTAGTAATGTTTTGAATGATATTCCAGAATAATTTAAATGTAACAATTAATTTATGTTTCCTTTCCATTACAAAAAGCACGTATATTTACCGCTAGGTATCAAAAACTGACCGTGAACTTGCGATTTATAAATAAATCACAGGCGGCTCGTAAAGTTATTAATCAGATCTGATGCAAATCGGTGCAGCGCTGTCTTAAAACACATGTTTATCCGAGGGTGGTCTGCCTACGCCTTCTAAGCCCTATATAATAATGAAGTGCGAAGTTTACGAGGTAAAGATGATCTTTCAGAATTAAATTACAAGTAAACTTAATAATAACTTCCCAGCTTCGACTCGAAGCAATATTAGTGTACCAAATTATACCAAACAAAATCTATTTGTAAATATATACGAGTATATCTTCATTTTGAAATATAAACGCTCTTTTGATGAACAAAACAAAACAATACTGTCATAAAATGAAAATCAATGATCCGGATCAGAAAATAAATTACTGATTGTCCATTATATTCGGGAGTTTTATTTCGTCAAAGTTTATTTTGAATGCATCAGTACAAAAGGTTACTGCACAAAAGGTGACCACCTACTCTTTGGCCAAATACGTTATAAATGTTATTTGTTACAAATGACCATAATTAAGTCTCATCTTGTATTTAACTCGACTGATCACGGTATTTTACAACAAAATAACAATGGTACAAACAATTTCGGGTCATAAATAGCCCAATTTGTGGCCATAATTTCGTTAATTGGAATGCAATTTTGTTGCAGCATCTTCGTTTTTCGTCTTGTCTCAAATTATTCTGTTGTAAATCTCCTACAATTTTCCTGTTAACCTTGGTACTCTGATTAATTCTTTTATAAGAAAGTTAAATCTTTTTCTGTATAGCTAGGCTTTTTTCGAAACCCTTCTCATTATTCCATGACAACGAAAAACGACCTCTTCAATGGGACAAAAGGTCTGTGAAGCGCAAATGTTCAAATAGATGACATTCCACATGAGTGTTGCTTTAATCCGATTTGCTCGTTTTATCTCACGTACAAAGATTTACATATTAATATAAATAGCAGTTTACATTTAGAGCGTTGATGTGCATGGATTTATTTTTTGCTCTACCTGTATACAGATTACAATTAAATTCTCAGGTGTTAATGTTGCATCTCCGTCGTCACATCGTACTTTTAAGACTCCTGCATTATAATCTCTTTTAACAATGACTACTCGGACCTCTACAGATTGTATCGTACAACAATAACATATTTTAAACGACTCAAAAATCTATATCTCGTCACGATGTCGTGAGAAAAGGAATGGACCACGGGATTAAAGTTTTATTATCAACGGAGTCTTGTTCTATCATAAGTCGGATGCGTTGTGATAAAATATTTTAGTACGATTAAGCTGTTAAAGCGAACTGTTAGGTTATAATTCTCTATAAAGTTATATCTTAATATGTAGTTATAAAATAAAACGGAATAATGACGATATTAAATAATGAATATGAGTTATTAAAATTACGTTTAGGAATAAAATTTTAATGTTGATTTAAAATATATAGCGACAAAATATAGATTCAAGTTTAAATTATGTGGTTTATAAATATCACTTAGGTATTTATAAATTATCGAATTTAAACGTTTTAATTTAATTTATTTTATTTTTGTTCAAATTAAATCAAACTTACATGAAAATAAAAACACAAAACAGCACTATTCGTTCGAAAAACTGTTTGAAAACTGAGATTCTAACGATGCGTCTTCGAAGTAGGAAATTATAATGCTGCATTTTATGTACATATCTCCTGATTCCGGTTCAACAATACCTCATTTGTTAGGGTTGTTACATAACTAAAAAGATACTTTGAATTACATTTGCAGAACTCATATGAAAAATAATTGATGTACATTCAAATATTTTGGGAGGCTATAAAATTGTGTCCTCCATTTTGTTGAGTTGCATCATCAGCTGACCAAAAGCGTTTTAAGTTTATTAATCTTAAATCACTTTACATGACAAGACAATCTGAATGATAATAACACACGCAAAACAAAAACAAATTTCAAAAACAGATTCATATAATTTACGATCGAGAATAAATATAATTTACAATTAAATTATTAGTATTTCGACAACAGTGTTGTCACCGGGGGATTTTATCGTTTAGTTTTAAAACTGTATACAATGTTAGTTACATTTTGTTTGAGTAAACAGTTAGCTTTGATATAATTGGAACGCGTCCCCACACGGAACAACAATTCATGTCTATTAGCGGAACTGCTGATACTATCAAACTTTTTAAGCCCCGGTATAAAGCTGAATAAACTGAGACTTATATGTGACTGTAATGTTAACAATATAGTAGTTATTTAAGTTAATGTTGTTACTAGTCTTGTAATTACTACATCATAGCAAACTTCAATTCTATGAATATTTTGTTAATATTTAAAAGATGAAACCGCATTTTCGCAATATGCACATGTATTAGCTTTAGTATTACATGCCGACAGTAATAGACGAGTAAGCATTACATTGTAATTTCAGCGGTATGTAAAATCTATTAATAATGATAGAAACATTAAAATAATTTGCGGTTTCGTTCGATGTGTAAAATTTTCCAAAGTGCGGTTTGTATGTGATGAATGGTGTTTGGGATATAACACGTTGTTATTTAAATATTTCATTAAAACGAATAAATTAATGGAATTCATTATTCAACCGCAATGAATATTAGTAATTAATAAGGTTATTATAAATTAATAGTAAACAACGATTAGTAACACATTAAGCATGTAAACAAAATTTGTCACACAGGAAGAACGATTCTTTAAGCTTGAATTTTTTTATATTTTAGTATTAAAATATATCATAATAAAAATTGAAACGGAATAATTAAATTCAAACAACATAAGATACCTGATCAAACAATAACATTATTCAACATTAAATGATTACGTACGTAATATGTCTGCCATGTTATGAAAACAGTACATGAATTTCAAAGAAATACAAAACCGCTTGAGCCGCTCATGAAATGTGCAAATTATAATTCAAATAAAACCGTGCATATAAAGTAAACATATCTCTTTGTCGGCACTACATCTGTTGGGAATAATCCACGCTATATATAACATAGATATCAACAATATTATTTGATTCGTGACATCTCAATCATTATAGCAACAAATCAATCTATCATCGGGCTAATGTCTATTAATCAATAAGCTATACCTACAGGTGTGTTACAATCCAATGAAGTTAGATTTATTATAAAATAATCAAATGTCTAACTCCAAAAGTTATGAAACAAATGTTGTATCATTTCTATGGACATGTAAATAAATTTTGCGAATACTTTTGATCAATTGAATAGTTATATCTGTGCCTAAAATACATAAGTATTTTAGAAGAATTGCACAATTAAGACTGTGTTGCCGCCTTAAGTGTACAATTACAAGTCACAATAATAAATAATTACAAAAAAGTTCGTGTGTAAAATGTTGAAGTAAATGGTTTTAACTACAACGGTTGAAATAATTTTCCACTTGCTATAATTAACTTAGCCAAATGTTTAACCTGCCAACCGCTGACAGACGCTCCGCCGGAGATATACATACATACAAACATACATACATACATACATACATACATACACACATACATACATACATCCAAACATAACATTTAAATTGTCTTTATACGACCCTTTCTTATTTGTTATATCGAAATGTAAAATTCCAAAATTCGTATTGTGCAAGAGCGAAAGTGATTTCTTAATCATATGATTGAAGTACCTCGAAAGTGTGTTAATACTTTAAGGTACATTTAAATTTTAATTGGAAATGAATAGTACCCTTGGGAGGTATGATGAATATAGCAGAAACGTTAAAATAACGTTCTGTACTAAACGAATCGAGAAATACAAGGAAAATCATTAGTTTCATTAATTTACTTTGCAAATTACAATCGTATCTTAATGAATTTAATATACAATCGATATAACATAACTTAACAAGATGCACGCCACAATTTTAATCCCGAAGTTGACGGGATAAAGACACTTGTGAATGCAATTATTAAAACGCTTGTATACAATACAAGTGCATTCGTGGCGTTGGAATTCTTATTATTTTGCACTTCATGCTGTGCTGTTTCTTTGGGTCACGTTTTACTGACATATATTTTGAATTAATTGTTAGATACATAAATTCAAATATATTATCTCGTATTCCCCTTCCTTTCTTCAATTTAATATGTATATTTATGTACAAATTAAATCAATTCCTTATCTTTATTAAGAACATGATCTACGGAATCACTAAGATATAAATCTTCCATTTACTGATTATTTCGCACGTTTCGAAATTATAATTATCAAAGAAACTACTCTTATCTTCTTTTTTGTATTGTGAAACACATCCATCTTTTTTATGAATAAATTAATATTTTTTTAAAGACAAATTTTATTGAGTTTTTTTAAAGAAATTGTATTTGATCGTGTTATAATGATATACTCGCAAGCAAGTTAAGTGTTCTATGACACAATTTGACAAAATAAATAATATTTTTCCCCCAAAAGAATATTATCAAATATTGCGTCGTGTTTATTAAATTTGTTTGAGTAAAACGTACACGTCTCAGAAGGTTGGAACGGTGGGGCTAACTCAAGTATAAATTTGTTCATTCTGTACAAAGATTAGTGAAGCAATAAGAAAATATGTGATTTTTGGTGTTTAGCCAACTCACGTTTTTGAGGTTTTTGGAACGTCACAAGTAAACACAAACCACACGAAAAACTTTGATTACAATAATCTAAT